TACTATTAACTGTTAATAGTAGTACCAATACTGTATTAGTAGTACCTTGTGCTGTACTGTAGTATATGCAGTGTCAAATATCGTTCTTTTCAGTACCAGGTACTGTTCACTACTACGAAGTACTGTACTGTAGTACAGTACAACGTAGTACGTATATAAATCATTAACTGTAAGCTTACTCTATGTATGCGGTATCAAATTTTGTCCTTCTAGTACTAGTACTAGACAAAGTACAGGCATCATGCTCTCATCGGATGTGCCAGTCCTTCCTTTGAATGCAAGGTTAACTGAAAATTACTCCATTCTGTACATCCGCGTGGAGTAACTTACGTACTTCACTTGATTAGCATATACTAGTACAATCTACTGTACGTGTACAATACTATGTACTCAGGACGAGTACAGTTGTACTGTACAGAATATCAGTCAAATTAGACTATTGTTGATTACATTCCCCACACTTGCATTTGAACTGTGATTACTAAACTATGGTCATAAATAGTACATTGAATTTCTTGAGATAGCTCAATTTGACGGTTACGTTGAACTTGATTAAAGTGTGTATTGATTATTTTGACGTTTACCTTACACTTCATTAATGTATTGCGCACAATCGAAAACATCGACAACGACAACAACATACATGATCCGAAATCTTCACCCCAACGCAGAGATACTGCGAACACCAAAATCTCTAACGTAACGCAGTCTAAGACAGCGTACAGTTAATAATACCGTACAACTACTGCGTAGTACTACTACTTAGTACTACTACTTAGTAGGTGTTAATAGTACAGCAAAGAAGTACTATGATGATTGATTTTCACTGTGTTTCCTCATAATTAATCAAGCTATATCTGATTTATAGGAGAATTATCCATACTAGTGTACAAAGGTATATACAAATTCAGTGGCCCATTCGGTGATAGCGTAAACAATCAATGATTTAATGCCGAACGTCTTGCCCAATAGGATGACAAAATTGATATGAAAATTTGAAGTATATTCAACGTATTCACAAGTAAATATCAGTTATTACAAGAAAATATCAGTTATTACAGGAGTCACAATCGATTAATCCGTCGCAATACATATACACTATACGGTAAGTCTCTCATTTATCCGAACATTATCCGTATAAAGCCTGGTCAAAAGTCCCAACTGGTCAAAAGTCCCAACTGGTGGAGATGCTCTGAGTGCACAGCTGCGGCTTGGCGGACGGCTTCTTGGGCTGCCGTACTTATGATGACGTCGATTTTCTCGCCGGGCGAATCCATCAGTTGATTCGACAACTGCATGAGTGTCATTCCAGCGCATTGTGTGGACATCGAAATGACCATGCATATCTTACTTAAGTATTTATACTGTATTAATCTTCGCAGAATTGCAGTTAAAAAGTCAGTGTCACCGAACGAATATCATTCACACTCAAATTTATTGAATTCCGTGCAGAATATGACACTGAAAAGGACTCAGATCCAGGGTCAAAATTCGTGTTCCGGTGAAGTTGCTCTAACTCATAATTCTCTTGTTACAAGACACGTACCATATAGTGTATATGTATTGCGACGGATTAATCTACTCCGAGTATTGCGACTCCTCATAATTTTCTTGGAACAACTGATATCTACTTGTGAATGTGTTGAAAATACTTCAAATTTGTACTTCGAAGTATGACGCAATGTATGTAACAAAATTTTGAAAACGAGTGTCGGCCGGTTGTGAATTATCATCTGTGGCAAAGCATATATCAGTACACTATACGGTACTAGTATAGTACTACAGTACAATGTACTATTTATCACCCCAATGTGGTGTACACATTCACTTTTGATATAGAGCACCACCAATACAACGAGTAACAGTGGGATATGCACAGCCATCGATTCAATTCTCCAAATGAAGCAGCAGAAGTAAAGGCAAGACTCTTGTGTAAAGAAAAACGGTGTATTATTGTTGGTTGGCTCACACGACAGCCTATCACAGCCTCGTACTCCTACATGCATGCATTTCGCAAATCCGACTTAGCAAGCAGGCTTGGGCAAGAACGGTTCGATGAAGTCCCGGGCTTCCGAGATACGGGCGTACACTCCGGGGTGGTCCGGGCGCGCGCAGCCAATGCCCCAGCTGGTCACACCGGCCAAGTACTCGACGCCGTTGCGCGTGATGGTCAACGGTCCACCCGAGTCGCCTTGGCACGTGTCTTTGAACCCCCCGCCGGCACAGATCATGGAAGACGTGACGTTGTAGTTGTACTTCTTGAGCGCGTCGTGGCACTTGGAGTTTTCCCAGATGGCTACGTCGGTTTCCAACAGCACGGGAGAACCCACCCCGCCGGACGAGGTATGGCCAAACCCGCGCACCCACGACACGACGCCCGGGGCGGAGAACTGGTCTTCGTCCCAGTTGAGCTTGACGGGGGGGAACTTGGACGCGGTTTCCAATTCGAACACGGCAATGTCGTAGTCGTAACGCGAGGCCTTGTTGTACTTGGGGTGCTGGGTGCGCTTGACGATCTTGATGCGCTCGCCGTCGATGGTGCCGTTGGCGTAGTGCGACCCGACAGACGCGAACGTGGCCCACGCAGTCGACGAGCAGTGGGCCGCCGTGACCAGGATCTTGGGGGCCACCAACGACGCGCCGCAGCTCGAAGGTCCGGTTTCGGTGCGGCGGAGACCAGTCACGTAAGTGTACTTGCCAATGGGCACCACGGTACCGTTGACGATTTCGGTTTGGGCGACCGCGGAGGCGGCGACAGCAGCGAGGGCGAGGAACTTGACCATGGCAAAGTGAATTTGAAAATGATGTCAATGTGGAAACGTCAAAACTGCTGCCTTCTCAAGCATAGTGAATGCCTGGACTTCGTAGTGACAAACCAGACGCTCAGTTTTTGCCATATGGAGTGCGTGCGGCCCCAACGCTATACTGAATCCCTATAATTGGATTTGTCACTGGATAATAATGGTGCTCCACGACATGCGAAATCTACAATTTATGACTGATTCACACACAGCAGCACACTGCTTCTATTCCTGCTGCAAACGAATGGGTACTACTAGTACACTGTAAACTGCTATCATTGGATAACGTTATGCAATGATTTGTAGGGACAACTTGACCTCGTCGCTCCTTTTCATAATTGATGGTTGCCTATTGTCGTAAGCGGACTGAAACTCCTTGTAGGTTTATGCTCAAGTCCAGCCTGTCTGCTTCTGATTGCAAGCATTTGAAGAAATGACGTTAAAGGAAGTGGACTCAATGCTTTCATTTCAATCACCACAATACTATTACTAGCACTACGTAGTAATTGTATGAGGTACTACTACTACGGTATATGTCAATCACCAAAATACTATTAATTGTATTAGGAACTACTACGGTATACTAGTAGTACTTGGTGGTCTACTACTATGCATTGTGTTGATTGAAGTATTAATACAATACACTACTGTAATAAGGGAATGAAATTGCTTGTCAGGTGCAAAACGTGGATGAAATCATTGAGATGTATTTTGGTGATTGATATACCGTT